ATAATAATAATAATAATAATAATAATAATAATAATAATAATAATAATAATAACGATAATGATTTTAGTCTAGTAACGATTAGTAGCGTTATGCTGTAAAGACCGTAGAACGGAAACATAACAAAATAATAGAATGACAATGATGATATATTTTGAAACGTTCAACGATATCTTTGTAAACAGAACGTCAGCCCTGGCGCGGTGAGAACATCTATGTTAATGGAAACTTACGGCTTATCTGATGCCATCTCGAACAATCTCTGCCCAGTCCTGGAAGACAAGGATGTTGCACATGCAGTAGTCTATATCTTGAGTACGCCGCCCCACGTACAGGTGATTGCTAAAAAGATGTGATGACAATTATATTTGATAATTTTTGTATAATATTTGTAGTTACAAATCTGCAAAAAAAAAATGCAAAAACAAATTATATTTCAGCAAATAACACTTAAATAATAATAATGATTAACTATTATCATACATTGCGTTATATTTATATGAATTACACATAAATATATTTTTATTTATGATTTGATACGGGGTTTAATTTTATAACTCGTATTACGTTCTAAACGTGCCGATAGAATAATTTTAGAATGTCATTTTAAAACATTGGAAATTTAAAACTCTCTAAACGAGAATTAATTTCTCCCTAAATTAAATATCACGCCATATCAAATACGCACGCAACCGTAGTTTATTTATTTCAGATATCGGAAGTTGTACTGACGATACATGAAGCTGCATTCACTTCAGAGAATGTTAAACGGTTCACGGCAGAGTAATGGATACGCTTTCTTTCTGCGTTTAAAACAATACATTTTTGAATTTTTAGCATTCATATATTTTCTTAAAAAATAAATCAAGTAAAAAGAAATTCTCATTTTCTATCACATTCTCGAAATAAAGAAATAAATAATTATTATAGGGCAAAAATAGTATCTAATTTTTATATTTACATATAAATTTTTCTACATTTGTGATAATATATACTATTAATTATAAATAATTGAAAAGAATACAAGTTAATTTACGTTTGTCGCACGTTTAATATCGATTAATTATTATAGCTATAGCTCCTGTAAAACTGTACTTGAAAAGTTATAAGCCAAGTCGATCGACACAAGTTCTTCGTTATGGATTGCTTGTAGAAATTAAGTTGATCTGCTTTATCTATGTAACAAGTATATTTAATAAATTGAAGAGATGAAGAGATGATCATGATCATGAAAATCACCTTATTATATCCTCTTATATACACATTTATGTAGATATTTACCAATCGAATTAAATTGATAGTCTTTAAGTAATCGAGTATTTTTATTTCTTTGTAGAGTTACGCAGAGTACAATGCTAAAATCATACACGTGACGCATCTTTGCGTAATATATTAATATATCTCTCGTTATACGTTTACATTTCATTACATCACATCGAATGTGGACATGGTGCTGAATTAAGTTAGACGGTTATGTACATACTGTTGTATTAAATTGTGCTGGGAAATAAACCGACCCGCGGTGACACATTTAGAAACGATTAGTATTAATGTATAATGGCACGAACGCATCGTCTACTGAGATTTACAATAATCGAGACTAACGAGATTACGAATAGTATACGGACATACTAATTCGAGAGAAGTAAAGAGAGATTTAAGAAAAAAAAGGAATTTACGTGTGCACTTTTATCTTAAGAGTTAATAGTATTGGTCGAGTATTGTTGAAACACCTTTGTCATCCCAAGCGATATATCGCGAAATTCTCGCTCGTCTTATCAAACTACTCAATTAACTAATCATCCGCTTATACCAAACATATTTGGAAAGTGCTTTATCTCAAAGCATAAACGTGCTTGCGACACCGTTAAATATCAGCGTCGCTTAATTTTTATTTTCTCTTTCTCTCTCTCTCTCCCTCCCCCCCTCCTTCCCCTTTCTTGATTTAAATTATCGCGCATATCGCGTATAAGGAAAAGGCCAGTGTTAATTTAAAGAGAGTTCTCTAGACGATTAAATGACCGAGCCACGTAAATAAATAAACGCGTATGTATCCAATGCAGAATGGATTTAGCCTACGATCTTTCGAGTTTAAAGCAATGCGGGCGTTTTGTTATTCATTTATTGAGAGCGACAAGCGCCACGCGAGTTCAAATAATATCTTTATGCTATGACCGATTTTATTTACGTGACTGGTCAATAATTCTCTTAATGCAATCGTGGTTTTAATGTACTTTAATTCTATCACGCGTTTTGGCCCCTCGTCCGCTGCAGAAAAAAATTTAATTATACACGTCCGGCGCATAGACATTAACGTCTGAATCTTATGAAACAACTAAGCTAACTTTACAACGTTTACTGCCGCTGCGTATCCTTGAAATAAAAAATAAAACAAACGTTTTAAGTACAAAAAATTTTGCTTATTTAAATTTTACATGAAAATATTTGAATTTCGATTTACAAATATCCGAATAATATCTGTGTTAAAGAAATTAAATATAAAACAAAGTTTAATTGAGCATAGCAGTTAATTTTTTGAAGTTTGTTCGGGTCTTTCCCGAATCTTCTATGCTAATTTTTGATTTAGTTGATTTAGTCAGGCTACGTCACAAGATGACGATAAGAAGAAGATAGCTTTGTCTATTATATTGTATTAATAGCACGAAACATCTGTTTCATAGCAGTCACTAGCAAATTCATGCGCGCGCGCACGATTGAATGATGGAAATTAAATAAATACAGGACGGATATGTTCAATCTCGAAATAGTGAGATTATCCTATACATCTATATATCGATATATGTATATAATATATCTGTGATGATAAAACATTCCACTCGAAAAACTGCTAGCTCTATGCTTGTAACGGTTTCTCCATAGAGCCTTATCTCAAATTATTGCCACGTACACAGAATCGGATTCAATTTCGGTAAATACTTTCATTTATCATTTATTATAAATTTAATAAACAAATAAAAATAAATTAGACGTCCTTTTGACCAGAAAAAAGCTCACTCTACACAAGTTCACTTACTATTTCTTCTTATTATTTAACTATCATGGCACGAACTACTAACAATAAGTAACAAATCAAGAGACACGGTAGTGTCTCGCGCGAAGTACATACACGCGAAGCGAGACCGCACCGTGACTCTTTTACGCGATTACTATAACGCGCAAATATGCGATAAAAATTATATACATATATTTTTGCATAGCCATAAATCACGAAGTAAAAAGTCTGTAATAGCGGCAATATTTTCTTTACACAATAAGAAGTAAAAAAGAGACAAAGAATCATAAATCTTTTATCGCATCGAAATGTCCGATTCTTTTACGCGTATGACATAGGATGATAATGATGCATTGATACAATGGTAACTATCCATCATTATATCAAGAATTTTTATGCGTTTATAACGCGCATTCGTTTAATTATGGATATGTTTAATTAGAAACTTAAATACGGACGTGTGCGTCGCGCGCTAACATGCGCTAACATGTACATATTCTAGCCGCGATATCGCGAGGAGTTCAACAAAATAATGTTCTCTTTCTCTTTCATTTGTATATATATGTACGTATACCTGGAATATACGTAGTACGCGTACGCTGTTTAGACATTAGCCGTATCTTGTTATTTGTTTTTCTTTATACATTACATACACACATTAAAGCTGAACCAGTACGTGTATACGAATACACACTTAACAAACTGTATGTACAAGGATACCTTTCTCCTACGAATTTCTTTTTTGTTGCGACTTTTAATAAATAACATGTGAACGAGAAAGATTGACGTTCTCAAGTTTCCAATTGGTCCGTCACAACCAATGTTTTACACTCTACATTTACAAAAATCGCATTGAAAACCTCAGGCCCCGATTATTCGCAAAGAATCTCTTTCTCGTTGAGAAAAATAAATAAAAAAGATTGCAAGAAAAATACAAATGTTTTGTGCAATATTCATATTCTTGTGCGGTACGCGTCAGTAAATAGTAAAAAAAACTGCTGCGTTAAGTTTCTGAGATTCTTATCCAATAAATACAAGTCTTGCGTAAATCACCGTCGATAATTGTAATATTCATTCAAAATCATATAGAAGTAAAAGAAGATAGCCATTATGAATTGCAATTGTAACATTATGCATGCCAAATATTTTACATTGTTTAGACTTCGTCATTATTAGACTTCTTTTAGAAGAGAAAAATATTGGTTATAAATATATATTGCTTTTCAGAAAATATACGATTTAATTATTTCATTCGGTATAAAATAACCGGTAGATCTCGCTCGATGTATTAAATTTCATTTACTTACGTAGCGTTGAGAGAAACAATACGTTTTGAAATAAACATCTTCTAACAAATAAGATTCTTAAAGTTGTTGATATCAGCAAATATAAGTTTCTTTCTTTTGTCACTCGATGCGTGCTTGTGTTTTGAGAATACACCTCTTTCTTTCTGTAAAGTGTACCTTCCACACAATGTACACGTGATTTTTTTCTTTTTAAGACTCTGCTGTTACATCAATTCTTGTCCCGGTAAAAGAGAACAAATGATTCACATTTTACTTGTATCAATTAATTGCAACATAGTTCACGATAATTTATGTTGTTCTGTTATCAATTCCTTTATCATATATTTAATTATATACCATATATTCATCTATTTATAAATAATTTAGAGGAAGATTTTAAGATGTCAAATCATCAATCGTAAATATTTCATTTAAAAATTAAAAGCTTTCACAAAAGCGGATCTTAAGGAGCCTTCGAAATTGACAGGAAATGACGTCTAATCATTGCGACGGTCTAATCGGCGGTGATTATCTCGAGGAGCGTTGTAACTAATATAATGAGATCAAATAGAGATAAAATATTACGGAATAGAAAAAAACAATCGGTTAAGATATATTTTATGAATATTCTATAGAAATAGCGGGAGAGATACATGACTTGAGTCTTTGGTGTCAATCTATAAACAAATTATTCCTCAACATATTTTATAAATTTATATTTTTGTGTATAGATTTATAGATCGTCATTTCCACTCATATCTAATGTCTGTATGTCTATTTGTACTACCGAATGACGCTTGGCTATCATTCGTAAGCGTAATAACAGTCCGTAAACTTATGATAGATGCCGTCCAATGTGATCACGAACTTCCCCGTAATCCCCGTAATCTAAAATTACAGAGATTCTTGAAAAATACAATTGTCCGGTATATTTTTCATTCTTCGGTCGAGGCTTGCGCTCCCCCACCGTCCTCGCGATTGCTGCTGGTCTTTTGTTCTTGTTCCTTTTGTGCTTTGGCTTCTGCATCTACAGATAAAACGTTGATCCGTTGCAATTTGTCAATCTTATGAAAATGATTTTATTAGCTAAATAAGCTATACGCAAAGTACAATATAAACAAAACTTTCATAATTATGTTGACAATTCTTTGTTAAAAAGTATTAACTCTATTTAGAAGCGATTAAATAATATCTAAACTTAATTATGATAACATGCCTCGAACTGCTTGTTCTTTCCAGACTTTTTTATTCTCTGCGAGACACGGGATCCAAGGTTTGCCAATCTTAAATCTCTTATTTTCTCCTCCTGAACCTGCAATATTATCAACACGTTATTATATATAACTGTTAATCAATCTGTAGAATAACTAATTAATAATTAAATTAATATATCTATATTTAAAGAAAAAGATAAAATTTCAAAAGTAGTAGAGATACAGTGTCATTTAAATATAATTAAATAATTAAATTACAAAGTAACGTATGCTAAAAAAGATCTTGACAAGATACCATTGCTGGGTTCATCCACGGTATCCTTGACATTGAGCGGCGCGAGAACGGTTTCTAGCATGTCACTGCATACTTGCATGCTAGGCTCGACAATGAATTCTATGAATCCTATTTGAGATTCAGCTACCAACGTATTATTGCGGTCGCATAGAGGAGAAAATGGCAATCCAAGCTCTCTCTCTTTATCACCTTGTCTGAAGAATTCTTCAAGAAGTTGCATCGTCCATCTGGATGGATTGGGAATTATATATCATCTATTTATTATTGTATATATACATATTGTTTTGTTTCTGTTATTAGAATATATAGATCAATCTTCTTTAGTATAAAAAGAAATCTTTATTATGGTTTTTCAATTTTATTTTAATCTTTCTTACTTAACTTAAAAAATATATATATATATGTATAAAAAATTTTTTGCAAAAATTATTTTTTTGTCTATAATAATTTCTAGTAGACCATGTTTCATCAAAATTAAACAAGTACAAATATCGTTAATATTCTCTTTGAGTAAAAAGCTTCACCTATGGTGAAGATCCCATCTTTTGGCAGGATGCGAAATATCGCAACAATGGAGAACTAAGCTAACAGCTTTGCTTTTATCCACGCTTGGCTCTGCCAAACTTAGTAAATTTTTCATATTTTTTAACTGTTGAAAGTGAAAACTCATATCGGTGGCAAGAACCATGTCAATCACGAGTGATCGAAATTCTCGAAATTCTTCTCTCGATAAATTTTGCAGTATGTTACAATCATCTTCTCTGAGTATCCTAAAACATGCAATATATTATATTAAAGAATATTGGCGTATCACTATATATTCATTTAAATAGGAAAAGGTTTCCAAAAAAGAAAGAAAAAATCAAAGAAAAATCAATCGTTGATAGATATTAAAACTTTTAAAAAGTAGTTTAATTTTATTATGTGTATTCGTAACAAATATTGCACAATTTTTAACTTTAATATTTATATATAGCAATTTTAAAAAGGAACTTAAGATAATTTAAAGATTATCTTAATCATTTTTAAAAAAGATTATCTTTTAAAAATAAAATTATCTAAATGTTGAATAAATTAAAAACTGCCCGAGACAGCAACGGCAATGGCAATTGCAAGATGGAATTTGCACATACCGAAAACTGGCCGAGATGTGATGATTTTCTAACACAGCTCGGTCGTTATATAGGAGCGCTGTATCACTACCGGACATTACGTGGAAATTGTTTGTGGTCCCAGTATGCTCGTAATCATGAATAATCGCTGCCACAAGAGTGGCGAAAATCTCGAGGTCGGTCAGCCAATTCTGCAACGAATAATATCAGCCTGAAGCAATCTCGCGTACAATGCGCATCAAGAATCAAACTGACAATGAGTAGAAGAGAACTCTTCTTTTTGCCTTTTTGCTAATCAACTATCTTTAACGAATCGATAGAGAACTCGTTTTTATTATTTGCGCATTTTATACGATTTCTATTTTTTTTTTCAGACGAAGAGAGATTGCCAAACAAGATATTATAACAATCGTGATAGGCTCAAATGATTAGAAATCAGACATATATAACGAAAGAGCACAGTGTCGCAACAAGATGTTCGCGTTAAATTATTTTTAATTTAAATAGATATTTTCCAACCATACAAATATTTTGTTACTGCCCTGTGCTCTTCCGTTATATGTATATGCAAGATATTATATTTTTTGATTCTGTTCGAGAGATATATATTTATACTTTTATAATTATTTTGCAAAGTGTATAGATTGCATATGTATGTATCTTAATATATCACATATGTATATAGTAACAATAATGAAAGGCTTTCACGAAAATAAATTATTAATTAGCATAAATAATTAACTATTAGTTCGTTATACAACCAGTAAAAAATTAAGAAACATCTTTATTTTCCTTTTACATATAAGTACCGTAAAATGTAAAATAGTATATGTCATAAAGATTCTACATAATATGCATCTCTTTCTCTTCCTCTCTCTTATTAGAAAGAAGTACTCACCATCAAACCCGTTTGACATAGGATGTAATGCATCGTTTGCGCAACATCGGCAGCGTGGAGGTTGTTGTGGTATGGGTTTCGATGCCTGCAATAACCCTCCTCAACTCTTCCGAGAAAGCACTCCAAAACTACGGGAGGTACTTTAAACTTGTGAATCATACCATATCGATTGAGGAGGTCATAGCCCAGGTATTTCACTGGCGTGCCCAGAGCGGCCTCATTCAAGGAAAATACATCGAACGACCAATCGTCTAAAGTCTTGAACGGTAAAGGAAGCAATTTGAATATTTAAACTTTCAACAACTCTCGACCTTAATTTTAATAATAATCTGACCGATCTTTGATGATTGAGTGAAAATTCTCTTTCCCTTGGCTAATAATCGAGATACCAGTATAATTTTTCTGATTGAAAGTCTCCGATATGTAATTAAAGGTAATACAATAGTATATGTGTAAGTAACTAGACGTTTTTTGCCGTGATACATATTTATCGCTAAAAATTAATCGCCACATAAAGATACATATATAGATACGAATACTCTCCAGCCGTGGCTCGCCGGCGGATTACCTTAAGTACTTTGACGACTTCCGGCGGAAATTGCATGAGAGCGGTGTTGGTGACTCTCCTATAGATCCGATCGACGAATATGCCCGCCCTGATAGCATGGGCGACCGAGCGGAATTTCGGTTTCTCATCGGCTTTCCGCCTAGTGGTGGCGAGCTGCCTGGTGAAAGTCGATGCTAGCCATTCGCGTACTTCCGGTGGTACCGCATCTGGCTGCACCTCTGACAGCTCGTCATCTTCATCCGCCAATCGTCTACAGGAGGAAATCGTGAGAGACAACGTTATAGATCAGCGAATTAACGCGCTGATATTCGACATTCGACATTCGACACGAACAAAATGCCTACCTTCGCTACGCACGATCAAATATATCAAGTCGAGACACTATCAATGTCCTTAAAAATTCATCTCATTGTGCTAAACTAACTAAACTAACTTGTTTAAAATCTGTATTTAGGCTCGCTTTACAATTTACATCATCATGAACGAATCTCTCTTTTATTTATGTAATATATTGTGTATTTCTGTATTACTCTTATTATATGTTATTTGATCCAATGTTTGTGTGATTTGCATTATCCATTTATTATAATGTCTTTCTCTCGTATCAAGTACGTTAAGTACAATGAAAATAGTAAATTTATAGATTGCCGGAAATGTTATTTGTCGCTTTAAAAAATCGACGTGTAACGACTAACAATTCGTGAATCAATTTCGTGTGTGGTAAAATGTTTTTTTATCGCTCGCGAATCATAAAAATAAATTACAATAAATTGCGATTACATCCGGAATATAATCGATATTCCATTTTATTGTATTATACTCTGTAAACAAGAGTGTGATATACAGAACAGATATCTAGATCTACGTAAAGGTCTTCTATCTTAAAAGGAAATTTTTTAGTACACATGCCATTAAGAAATATTCCTTAGCTGTTTCACGTATAAGCCGCCTTATACCGCGATCATAATTTTCTAAACATATCAAGATTCTATTCTATTAATAGTCCTAATTGACTCACTAAAATTCACGCTCTAATTAAATTAAATATTAAACATACTAATTACATCATTTCAGTGAAAAAGTTAAATGTGCGAGTTATATAAGTATGCGCGAATTGGAGGGGAATATTCCACTGAAAAAAAAGTGAATGAGATGGGAATGAGGATTCGTGTAAAAACTCAAGTTTAAATAAACAGCTGTGATCTTTCGAGCGTGTTTCGTGTCTCCTTGATCTCAAACTTGATTCGATGTACAGGTGTACAGATGCAGCAGTGATTTAGTAGACTTAAGCTTAAGCGAAGCTCTACGACCTACGACAGTTAAGTCAATCATCTTGCCAAATAATTTTGACATATTCTTGTCAATTCTCTATTCCTCAGTGTCAACTATGTATTAATACGATCGTGATAACGGTGTTGTCGCAATTTCTTTAAAAGTGCATTTCGCACGTATATATGTATACCTATTATAGATCGATCTTGGGTGCAAATTACACAGAACACAAAACATCCGGAAATCATTGCCAGTAAACAGGTGCGAAGATTTGGATTAATTGATGATCACTAATAACAATATAACAGTTCTAACAATTAATTAAAAGATGAGAAAAACAATTATGCTTGTGCAAATATTGTCGTAAATAGTCGATCAATTATGGTGAATAATATAGTTAAAATTTCATAATAAACACTAATAGATTTAATTATACGCGGAAAAGCTACATGTGTTAGCATGCGCGCCATACGCTGCCAAAAATTGCGTATATATAAAGTGTCTCAGAACCACACTGTAAACACACACACACACGCACGCATACCATTCTTTTATCTATATAAATTTCATAACTTTGAAATAGATTTTTCCATAATATATATACACTCTACTTTGCACAAAAAATGTGCATTAGTTTAAGTACATTTTAAATACATTAAAATATATTTGTAATATATAATAATATATTCAAATATGTAAATCTAAATATATTTAAATCTTGAACATATCAAGTCTTAAATTAGTTTGTAAATCAAGTAAATCTGCGTTAAATATGCATTATATAAAATTGCGATGTAATGCTTCTCTTACTCATTTTAGATCTTAGATGCTTAATTCATTAATATGTACTTAAAAAATTTCAACGTTGGAGTTATACTACGTTTACGCGGGCGTTATATTTCTGTAGAACTTAACTTGCGATAATTCACTCGTTTACGCGGAGTGAGTAAGTTACTACAAAATCCCATTTACTTTACGCGGAATTATCGTAAGTTACCGCAGAAGTAACGCTCGCGTAAACATAGTATTAGTTGATTATTTTGTTAGTCATCAAAGTAACCATCTTAGTTTATCCTGTAATATAATTTATAACTTGAAAAAATATAGGTCCTGGAACACCCTAAATAGTATATGTATACGAAGAGAGCGTCGTCATATAGCCATATAGGTACCTATAGCGAATAGCGAATAGCGAGTAGCGAGTAGCGAGAGTTGGAGTGTGCGCTAGCGAGTGATTTTTCATGCAAAAAGACTTCGATGGCGCCAAGCGCAAAGTGCAGAGTGCAAAAAAATGTGGTTTCGTACGCATTTTCGCGATTCGCGCTCAAACATGGAAATTTTGGGAGAAACGAACCTACGGCGTACACCCGGACGACATATGGCGGTTGACTCCACACGCTCAGCATCTCTATAATATGAAATACGAAGGGAAAACATATATCACATTAAAAGGTTCCACAATGATCTATATAAGCATCTTGCTACATCCAAGCAAACATCCCTGCATGCCTGATGCAGCGTAGGGTGATTTGAAAATATTCCTTCTTTTTTCGCTTGCTCTCCGCTACCGTTTGCCCTGAAGCTGAAGACCATTTCGAAGTAGCCATCCTTGTGTGTGTAATCATTCTCTCGCAGCTTTTTCGAATCACACAATATGCATATATACACACCCATACACATCCCATACACAGCGCGGCGCGGCGCGGCGCGGTGCGATTGATTTGTGGGGGATGCTTGAGGACCGCCCGGTGATAAACGTCCTACATATATGTATATGTATACATGCACTTCTCTCGGGCAAGAATAGTGCCAGTAGGAAACGGTCGATTATCGTGAGAACGATGCATGTTGCACGGCAGGCAGATACGTCCGACAAATTGAGCAGGTTATACCTAAAAGGAGTCTAGAAGAGATGTAATGAGAGAAAGAGAGAGAGAGAGAGAGAGAGAGAGAGAGAGAGAGAGAAAAAGAGACAGATAGACAGGCAAGAGTAACGTTTCCATGCTATGCTCGAAAGTGTCATTTAATCCTCGCAGTTGATCATTCCTCTCGTCGATTTATCATCTCAATAAAACTCAATTGTTGCGCACAAGAAATGCAAAAATAAAAATAAATAAATTGATATAAACATGATTCATGAGACTGTGACTTATTAGAAGATTAATATGTTTCTTGTTGTGTCACCCGATTATTTACGTATCGCGAAACAAGTACCTAAGGTATTTCAACGAATATTTTCGTAGTAAAAATGCAGGACGTTTAAATATAATCATTGTTGTCTCTGCGTTCATTCCTACACATAACATATGCAAAAGTTTGACCGTCGACAATATCCTAAATAAGTGACGAATGTCTGTGATCTTTGATAGTATTCTCTAAGAGAATCATCTACTCGCACCGATTTGTAGAAACATGCTAATTGTATCGTGAGACTATTAGATATACAAGAATAACAATTTTGAGTTTCGGAACTACTACAAAAAGCTTATTTAAAAAAAGTACGCATAACTATTTTATGCGTTTCAGTTTTTGTGCACATCAACTAATCTAGAAACGTTCGAAAGATTCTACGGATTAGAAGATCAAGAAACGCTGACACATATATTATATTCCACTTATTGGTCTAGAATTGATATTTTTACAGAGGAGAGCGACATCTTGAATTCCTCACAAAAAAGTTTCTTAATATCGGCGTATAGAAATAAAAATATAAGATATAACATGGACGTTGTTTTTATATAATACAATTTAGAACAATTTGTTTAACATAAAGAAAGCTTGGGCCTCAATTGTGATAATTTTAATTATACTTTCTATTCAATTTGCAAAAGACATAGTCCGAAATATAATATCTGGAAAATATCGTTGTCGCTTTTCCGTGACACTGATCAGTTGTCAATCGCGTCCACAAAATTCAAGCCGATGATGAATATTGGCAGATTGACATTTAGCGGTTGACTGAATACTGTGAGAAACGATCGATAAAGAGCAAATAATAAAATGTTATATGAAATATTAAATGTCATGTAAAATAAAATATTGGAGATAACAAATAAAATATTTTATTACAGAATAACGAAAAATATATTACATATCGAACTTTCATTCGTTTTAGTTGTTTTTTTTTCTGGCACATTCTCTCAAAGTTTTCCAATCTACTCTTGCGAATTGTCATATATCAAGCGACTAAAGACATAAATTATAACTAGTTAAGATTTTTCTTTATTATAATATTGATTTTAAGCTGCTCTAATTATTAAGTTATAATAAATTGTTCATCTTCTCAAGTTAAGCATTTCAATATCAATTGCATCATTTTGATATTTAAAGACATTTGCCCGTATTTTTAATTATTTAAGAATATCACTTGTAATATAACAATAGAGATCAAGTATCATATAATTTTATACGTTTGTAATTAAAAATTGTATTATGTAATTGATGGTTACCGTCACCAACCACGTCGCTAACAATGCTTTTAAATGATTGAAGAGTGAGAACGAGATATCAATTAGATGTTAAAAATAATGTTCTGAGTTACGAAAAAATGCTTAGAGATCCCTCTCCCCCCTCCCCTCTCCCACCGCCGCCGTTTATATTGCTCATTGACTTGGTATTTTAAATATTGTAATCAGAATAATTGTCAGATATTAAAATAATACAAAGAGACAAAATTCATGATTGTCGCTCACCGCCGCGATTACCAACAATCGTCCAACCAGAGAGAACATCTCGTTTCTTAAAACGAGCGCGAGTATGAATCTATCGTTCGAGAAAGAGGACGACAAAGAGTGTCAAAACGGCATACGGATACGGTGCGGATTGTGGATTGCGGATTGCGGACTGCGGACTGCGGGAAAATGGGTATATATAGATAGGGGCAAGTATAATGGAGAACGAACGGAGGGGAGGACCGTGTTACGTGGAATCGAAAACGTGGAGTCGTAAAAGGGGGTTGGAAATGTGAATGTTTCGCAACCTTGCCCATACGGGGGTGCGAAGCTTCCGTTTCTGGGTTACCACCGCGTGGCCCTGAGGTCCGTCTGGGTCCAAGCCGCCCCCTAGGGATGAAGACGTCAGGCCCGCCCCCCTACGTGATGACCGAGCGCACTCATTCCCGCCTGAACTCACCCTGCGGTAGTGCTTGTTAGTTCATGTGTAAAAAAGATTAGAATACAAGATTACAGTTTTTCTATTCCTTTTACTTTCGTCTTCTCTTTTCTTTTTAATATCATTACGTGATTTTAATATCACGGCTACGGCATCGCTCTGCTGCGCTCTCATGTTGCACGTCCTCTCATGTTGCAATAAATCTATTACATGTTGTAATAAATCTAGAATAGAATAAAACAGGATAGGTATACTCGATGCGTCGTGCTTTACGGCTGCTATATAGTGTGCGTGTAGTTAGTGTAGTCATTGCTGAAAACAAAGCTCGCGGAATATACAAACGCGAGTTAATCGCACTTCTCTTGTCGGTCACAATTGCATGAGCGAAAAATGAGAAAAGATACCAAGCATCTAGCTTCAAGCATCGAAATCGAAGACTTATATTCAACAATTCGAAGAATTGTTGATAATATGATCTTCGGGATCGGAGAGATGTATAGTAGACGTGCAAGTACAGCCAGCTGCGTGCAATTGTCACGCAATTGATGCATGTATCGCACAGGGATGTATGCCTCGTTGCTTATGATTTTATGCGCGACGCTAAAAAAACGAATGACATACCATAAATAGAAATTTTTGACAAACAATCTTAGAAAAGTAGAATGAAAACACGGAAAACTTTGTTAATTTCGTAATCCTATGATTTTAGTCTAAAAGTCTAAACTCTAAACTAAACGTATGGATTTTGACGTAAGAAATGCGCGTCGCAAAAATATTGTGTATGATATATAATTATAAAATAATGGAAGATGCGCGTCTTGAAATTATTAGGCATAAAAATTTGTAGAATTTGTAAAAGCATGCGGTTCAGTATTGCTTACAAATAACGCTTATACAGAGATCAAAATAACAATTAAATCATCAAAGGTAGCAAGTTTAGTGCGTATCCAGTCTCTATATATACGCATGAAATGAGCTGCAGTAACATGGAAAATGATGCTAAAAAGAAAAATTCACTTGCCTCCTGTGAGGATTGAACTCACGACCCCTGGTTTACGAGACCAGTGCTCTACCACTGAGCTAAAGAGGCGTCGATGTCAATTCCTCTCGGGCGAATCCAGAGGAATGATCCTGAGGATCCACGAGGAATAGTTCTGATGGATCGTTGTAACGTGACGTTATACATCTTTTTTTTATTGCGATTTATTGAAGCTAGGGGGAACACTGACCCCGCTCATCGCTTATACGATTGATCTCGCTTGCACGGATATGAGAAATGTCAAATGGCCTTTGTTCTTCATGGCCAGCTGAATCTTTGATCGTCCCGTAATTGAACAGGGGTTGTGAGTTGTGAGTTGTGAGTTGTGAGTTTCATCTGGCACGACGCATCGCGAAAACGAAAAGCTCTCATTACGAAATCGGGGAGTATTGAATTAATAAGTTGCACCTAGCAAATGGAAAGGGATAGCGTCGTGTTCACAAGATCACCCTGCGGCTCCACATTAATGAAATAGATTAATAGACCGATAAATTAACAGCTAATCGCAATCAACTCCGCTGCGAACGTCACGTCATCTCGTGGAAAACAATCGAATCGATCAGCATTAAGCATTACTAATCGTGTAAACAGTAAACTGTAAAACGCAAAACGGTTAGCTACAATCTAGTATCTACATGTATACGTCTGATACTAGATCGGCACACAAATGCTACCGCATTGACAAATTACATCAGGATATCTTTTCAATTAATCTCATCCTCGTTAGATATTCGACGATATGTATATATCTACAAAAGAGAGTCGTTATTAACCGCGAGGTTTAGGACGTCGAGATTATTAGGATGTTGGCAGTGTCCGCAAATTTTGGCAAAAAGCAGCAGTATTTGAAAATAGTTGCAGGTATAAGGATTAGTATAGTGACTGTTGCTTTCCATTCGTTCGTGAGAGGCTTGGACGTCTCGCTCGAAAAGAAACTTACTTGGTCTCGTCGATGAAAACAGCCTCGAGTACGCGAGCTGCGTAGTGCAAGTTTCGTTGAAGTAATTCGGCGGATATCTCCCCATGTTGTAGCTGCCTCAATAAACACCTCAATCTGCAAAAGAGAGGTAGTCTCGGAGTCGTTGCCTGTGCGCCAATAACGTATGCCTCCTGAACTAGATGTTCGCTTCCGATCGCTTTCCGATAATTACGCGACAAGAGTCGCGATTGCAAACACAATTCTATTTAATCCTTCGAGGAGGATTTAATCAAAGAAATAAATATTTTCTCTCAAGTGGGATTCTAATCTTACACATCTTATAAAATAAAATATTTGGCACACGAGAATAGACGGAACGTTACAGATGTAGGTATCTTAGAAAAATCGCATAATTAAGACACAACTGATATAAAAATTATAGATACATATATGACTGCAGAGAATACGGAATTTAACAAGTCGATATAAGTAATTTACATTCTCATTAAATTGTCATTACACGCTAATTTGCAGATCATAATCGCAGATCGTAAGCGACGCGTTATATGATATGTCTTTTATCAACTCGCGATCAGAAGCGGATTATCTCTATATGTAATGTATACATATATCATCACTCTATGTTTGGTGAACCTTTTGGTAAACCTAGATCTATACAAATCCAAAATATCGTATTTGCGATAGAGCAAAGCCATTAACACCTGCATTACATACGATATAATACGTTTTAATATACCTGAGGGCAGCTTTGTCGCATGCGTCGGGGGTGTCAACGGCAGGAAGCGAATCCGTCGTGAGATCGACATTATCGAGGATCTCATCGAGATCGACGGATTGACTCGATAAATACGAAGTATCGGGATTGTGCGGTGGTGGAGAACTTTCGAAATCCCCACCAGTGATGCTTTTGCTTTTGCCGGAACTTCGGCGTACTATCGTCAAAGTGCCTTGTTCTGAAACACAATGAGCGTCATCGCTTCTATTAGAATATTAGTGCAAATAAATATGGAAGGACATGTTGAACCGATCATAAAGATGTTTCGAAGAATCCGTACAACAACGACTTGGATCATTTTGAAAAGAGGACAGAGGAGAGTTTATCAAAGTTCTAATTATAAATTATATAATACATTATAATTGAGCCATTTTGTACTTGACAAATTGCTATTCGAAAATAATTTGTAATGCACCGAAAATTGAGGTGGATCGAGCTTCTTCTCTTCTGACTGATCACCACGTGATTGTTAATTTATGTGTATATTGTACAGTATATTATAACAATGTGAATATTGGAGCATTTTGCCAACGAAAGGAGCTGGCCAACGAAAGACTTATTTTTGGAAGACTTTGTTTTTGGATGTGCGGATCTTTGAGGATATGTAGTCGGTAAACGCACAGATAGATATAGGTTTGTGCGAGCGTGCAAGTAGATAAAGCCCAGCTATCGAAGCGTATCTCGGAGGGGGGAGAGGGGAGAAAGGAAGAGGGTAATATCTCGAAAACTTACTGGAGAGTTGGCCGTTCCGACCGGGGGAAGAGGAAGGATTGCACGTCCTCGAGGATGCTGCGCCGCTTGCGCTGCTACAGCCGGTAGCAGCCGCGTTATTCACCGCTACGCCGCTGCCGCTGCCGCTGCCGGCTGAGGCCACCCCGATATCGTCTCTCGTGACTCGTCTATCCGGTGGAGATGCAACTGCAATTTCAAAAAACGAGTTGACAATTTTTTTACATCTGTTTCTGTACGTTGGCTTTATGATCCTATCCAATCATATAGCATATGTAGATACGCCGGAAAAAAAAATTACGCGAGATAAAAATTTAGATATCATAGGATGCTTGAACATTCATAACTTGAATAACACAGAGATACACACACACATATACATATATGTCCATTCCATAATATGTATACTGCGTGATCGAACTCTTTACTTTTATAATACTTATGCTTTATTGTTCATATATTTATACTTTATTACTTATTAATAGAATGAACAGAAATTCATACAAGTCTTATAAATCTGCAAAGAAATAGAAGATAAAATTTTAAGGTTTCGATAAATTAAACGTTTTTTTATACGTTTCAATTTTATGCCCTGATAAGCTTTCAAGATGCAATATTTTATAACATATTTATTATCATGTCGCGTGTAATGGTGTAAATTACCATAACTAATTTGACGAATGTAATGTTACAAAGTGTAAGGTTGTATCATTGCAGTAAAAACCGCGGCGGTAGAGCAGCTATCGATCGGTACCACCTGTCTATAGCTCGCGAATTAGTCTCATAGCCAATCGATCGCATACGAGTTACCAATGGTCCCATTATGCTAATCACAAGTTGAAGTGTTTCTAAGCGCCGAGAATCACGTTTACTACGAGAGATCTAACAGAAGCACGAAATGAACATGAGCGTTCATATTGAAGATCGCAAAAACATATCCCGTTGTCAAATATTTAAGGAATTTTAGTTATTCGCCATTCAAATATTGATACAATAAGAATTATAATTTAACGATAAATATACTATAAATAACATATATTGCTTCCTCATAGAGGAAGCTTTTTTCGTGAATTTCGTGTATGAACCTTCGATTGCGTATAAAGTTGGGTTTAGTCAATCAAATTTAAAAAAATTATATATGAAATAGGGGTAGAAGAAACCAACGAAGAGATTGGTTTTTGAGTTTTTTCTGCCAATATGTTCAGATTGTTGTAAAACGTCGAAATATCGCCTAAAAAAATGTCCATGTGTATGTATGTATGTATGTGTGTATGCTTTTGTTGTCCGTATATGCTCTAACCTCCGTAATTTTTGAGATATCTGGATGTTAAACATGTTTTAAACAATGAGAGAAAAAAAAACGTAAAATAAAAAGTGGAAGTAGCATATAATTTAGATGAGATTAAAAGCTGCGAACTCAACGAAATCAGGCTGCCTTCACTTCTTGGTAAAATAAAATTGGAGCTAATTAAAATAATATAATTCAGCAGTTAAAGCGGAATTATTACACGACATAATGCGTTTTGATTTCTGTCACGCGGCAAATCCGCCGAATTAGATTATTTTTAGAATATGCATAATTATGTTTAGAAACTTGCAGTTAATTAAACAGTAGGTATTGTTCGTAAAACAGTAGCATTTTCAGTAATTGTCACATGTGTTGCATTGTCATGTAAAATAGTTTATCGGCGAATTTTTATATTCCCAACATGTAGAAATATTCAAAATACTATAAATTTAAGAATTTATTCTTTGTTATTGTAATTTAAATATTTACTATATGTTATAGCTCTTAAATAATATGTACATTTAAAATGTTCGTTAGAAATATATTCCGAAATAGAAATTCTACTGTATAAATAAATTGTTAAATACCGATTAAATATCGGTTCTAGGAAAAATTTGCTCTCTTCATATTTGGTGACACGTGGCAATAAAAAATCAAAAGGCAGTTTGGTAAAAAATAATCGTCTATACTAAACAACACGAGATTTAATTTTATAAAATATGCAAGCAGTTAAATGGAATGGCGATGTAACTTAGAGTTTTATGCCGCAGATGTCAGAAAAAATAAAAGGAATGAAGGCCCGGTACTTGCTCACAATTATTCTGTTGCCTTTATGCCATATTAGTATTGTGTTGTAATTTCAGTTCTTTACTGTATATTAACGAAACTGTCGTGAGTCGAATCGATTCCTCACCGTAGTAAGAAGCGCGATTTTTAAAATTTTTCAGTTTTATAATTTGTTTATCATTCTTACATCTTAATAAACTTCTTACACACATTTTATAACTTATTTATAAACATTATTTGTTATTTTTTATAAGACGTATATTTCACCCATGAATGTCATATAACCCACTTCTCTGGGATATATGACAAAAATGCAAGGGTTTCTAAAAGTTTTTTATATTAAATACAAAGAATAAATATTTCATATTTTTATTTTTTTTAATAGTAGTAAACAAGTAGACAGTATAAAGTTTTTATTGGTATAATCCATTTGCCTTAAATATAGTACTCGATAAATTAAGTTTCCCTCAGCTGCGGCGTATATATAATATATCGGAGTTACCCTATGCTTTTCTTATTCTGAGAAAAGGAGAATAAGTTGTAAAACTTTGTTTTTCAATGTACTATTGCGTTATAATACTCTTCTCCTTTAATTTCAGAACAACAAAATAATAAAGAGAAAAATCTAAAATTTTATATCAAAACAATTATACGCTCTATGTTCTGTGAAACAAATAACTCATTATTTCTAATTTATTCCTCCACATTCTGCATAAAACCTGCCTGGTAAATATTTTATGAATGTTTTCTCAATAAGACAATAAAGTAAAATAATTAAGTTTAAACGATAAAAAAAAACAATACCCCCATTTTGATTTGTAGCTAAAATATTATTTATCTTTGTAAATTAGAGAACCTCTCAGAATCGCGCTACGTACATGACTGCAACAATAGATTTATTTCGACAAGGTTATACATTGCGCAGAGAACGCACGGGGTGTACATATTATAAAATAAACGGAATTTCGTTGAAATTTGGGCGTAAAATCTCGGAATTACCATTACGTTTTTTCATTGCAACGGGCTGTAAGATGCATATTTTTGGATAATAATGTTGCAAAATCCTATTACTCACTCTCTCTTTCTTCCCTCCCCTCTCACTCTCTCTCTCTCTCTCTCTCTCTCCCCCCCCCCCTTCTCTTTTCAAAAACACCTTCAAATGCCGAGTGCATTGATGTGACGGTACGATAGTGGGTTATGAAATTATTCACTGTAAGCGGATAAGCAAACAGACGTGAACATACGTGAATTATTGCATTTTGCTTGAATAATACATGAAACTGCAAAGCAATGATGAAATGTATGCATTTAGTGTACTGCAGAATACAATTCATATCTGCGTCTTTTTAAAAATTATATTTTTGTTTTTATCGAATGTACGCTTTCTCTTTTCCACGCTCCTATATGCTTCGATTGATTGCATATCTGACGCATGTAGAGCTTACCGCGAGTCAAATAGACTCAGCAATTAATTTAGATATCCATAAAATATAAAGAATCGCCGCTGTTGTAAAATATAAAAACTAAATATCATAAAATAATCGGTTGAGAAATGTTTAACACAGACACGATTCATGAGATGTCATCGAGTATGCAAATCTCTGATGATCACTCGTTATGCATTGTTATCTTACTATTGTGTGTCGTATCAGAAACAGATTGATCTAATAATAAATATCAATTAGTTATTAGTTATTAAAACGCAATTAGTTATGGATCATCGTAATGCTATCGGCTAACAATAAGTCCGTTCAGGTAAATATGCCATAAAAGTTCAAACCATAAAATTTATTGACCAAACAACGTCATACAATAATCAATATAAAATATATTAAAACAATTTGAGATTCTAACAAAATTTTATTAGTTCAATAAGTGAAATAATTATATATAAGTATATAGATATTATTTTTAATAATATCTGTCTATATAGCGTTATCTGTCTATAGCGCCATAATGGTTGTCGGCAAAACGTTGGTGACTCCTGAATAAATGTCGAGATAAATGTGATTAAAAATGTAAGAGTTGATACGACTTCGTTTCTCGGGCAACAAACCGGAGTGTTGCCCGAATTATGTGGCCAAGAACCTGCTCTTCTGTTCTCTCTCTCTCCCTTCTTCTTTTTCTTCTTCTTCTCTCTTTGTCATCTTATTTTTAATAAGTGCGCTTACGCGACAAAATTCAATTAAATAACAAACACTGATGATCGATAAAACCAGATAGAACGAGTTCTGATCAAATTCCTATCAACTCTTTTCGTGGATTTTACGAATTACGCAAATGAACACATTGAAAAGCAGGTGATATATATAGGTACACATAAGAGCAATCAGAAACAATTTCGTAAAAACTTATTTTGACCTTTTAATACTTGCGCAAGAATATTATTACAGTTAATTTTTTAGCCTTTGATGGTGTTCTATAAATTAATTGTAAATATCACGATAACGTCCATACTATTATAGGCTACACAAATAATATTAATATACATATGTAGTATAGTTAATGCAAGATATAACTATACTTTATATAATGGTGGATTTAAACACGTATACCTAGAAATTAGCGATGTAATAATTAAATCCCGTGATCATCATCAAGTCTTGAGCGAGATCCAATTCATGCCCCTTCAGACAAGGTTTGCAAGATAATCGATCCGCTTTGTCTTGACCATACATACATACGTAATTAGTGACATATATAGAGTAATCGTCTCGCAATAGCTCGAAAATTAACTTGGACAAGTTCCTTGTTATCTTCTTATTGGCTCAAAGTGCCGAGTACGTCTTCCTGGCGTCAATGAGGCGTTTCATTAATGGCAAAAGAAACTCGAGATATAGGTACGTGTTAAGATCGATAAATAACTCATAAATTATTTTGTATTTTATATTACTTATAAATATAAGTATGTAATTAAATCCCGTGTTGTGTTTTAGATATCTATATATACAAGCTATTTGATAATTATAATTAAAGTAGTAACCTTCTTGATACAAAATATGGGATTTATGTATAAATTTTTGATCAACCGTTTAGGTATTCTGCGATAAGGTAACAAAAATTGTATCCTGTATTTTTAATGACACTTTAAACATTTTTCTTGCAAGAATTTGGC